ACACTAAAGCTACTAAAGCTGTATAACCTAGCAGCTAGACAATAGCACATTAATCCTTTACATTATACAGCAAGCTCTGCTACTGTATAAAGTAAAGAGGAGATAGTGTAAGGCGCACACTAAAGCTATTAAAGCTGCACAACCTAGTAGCTAGATAATAGCAGTACCTGCGCAATTTACTGCACAAGTAATTAACCTTACGCCTTATAAGGCACTTTATTTTATTACTTATTTTTTAGAAAAAGTAATAATAAAGCACTTACACTTTATAAAGTACTTTATTTAGTTACCTATCTTTTAGGATAGTAGATTAATCCTTTGCATTATACAGCAAGCTCTACTACTATACAAAGTAAAGAGGAGATAGTATAAGGTGCACACTAAAGCTATTAAAGCTGCACAACCTAGCAGCTAGACAACAGCAGTACCTACACAATCTACTAGAAAAGTAATTAACTATACTATTATAATAGAATCCTATTAGCAACTAACAACTCTGTGTAATAATAGAAAGAATAAAAAATAATTTTTATTATATAAACAACTTATAAAGGACATAGGGATATTAAAAGCAACACTATAGAATAAGACTAGCCTAGAGTACTAGAATAATAAGATTAACATGTTAGAGGCTTTAATAAGCCTATAAACTTAATTATACATAAGTTATATAATTACTAATCTACACATAATAACTTAGAAGGGCGCTACTTTTTTAAGTTTATATATAAAGAATTTTAAAAGATAGACACTATAAGACTTCTTAGCACTTAGCTGCGCGTTTAAAAGAGAGCTTATATAAGTGCTAAAGGACAAGGGAATTACACCACAGCTAGGCACTAAAGGTACTTAAGCCTAGAAGCTGTATAATATAGCATAAAGGAAGGCAATTGTACTAGAAAGGCTTTATATACAACCTTTATTACTATATAAGGCTCTACACAGAAGCAGACTAAACACAATGCTGCTATTAACACTAAACGTACTAGTATTACCTGCTCCTATACCTTAGCCAGCACTACACTAATCACTGTACAAACAATACATGCCACCCTACCTAACGCCTGCTCCACACCCTTAATTGTACATAACCACTACAAAGAAAAGCTGCGCATGCACATCTCTTTGTACAACCCCTGCCTCTTAATTACTAATAAAGAAGAGCACACCTTTAGTATTACTAGCCTGCAGACAGACAACACCTTAAGCATTATAATAAAGGATTTTGCGCAAAGAGAAGAGAAGAAACTGCAGAAGGCAAAGTTCTGTGTAAAGGGCAAGACTATTCTAGCAGAGAAGCAGCCTATTAAGTTTAACAGCAGAAGGATTAAACTTACACACAACATAGTAGTCCTTACTTAGAAAAAATAAGTAAGCTACCTTTATATAATTAACCTAAAGAATAAAGATGCTGTATAACAATATGTTAAGTAACATGTAAAAGAGGCATACATTGCATTTATGTGTTAACTAGAGGCAGCATTTAACCTATTTATTACTGCATAAACTATAGACCCTTTATACAACAACATTAACACACTTAACACATAAATCTAATAGTAGATAGATAATAGTAAGCGCAGTCTTACTTTCCTACTATTACAGCTTAATTATGCAAAGCTGTTTATCTTTATAAATAGATTATTTGCTAACAATAAGAACCTTAGCTTATAGCTAGAATTTTTAATTATATTAAGTAATAAGGACTATATAAAGCAAAGCAACTACTTTAAAATACTAGGTAACATTATACACTAGAATTCTACTAAGTGTAAAAGAGTAACTAAAAGTGTTCTTACTAGCAAACTGTATAAAATAGTTAAAAGGTTTAATAATGCAATTACTCTTAGTACAACTTTATAGTAAATTATATAAACACTTAAACTACTACTAATCTTAGTAGTAATCTGCATAGATTTAAGGTCTTTATATAATTACCTTATTAAGCTAGGCACTACTAGTAAAAAGTAACTTATAATTAACATTATGTTACTCTATAAATTATATAAGAAAAAGGAAATTGCTAAGATTAAGTAGATTAATAGTAAAAATAACTTAGTAAATGTATATATAAAGAAAACACTAAACTAGGCTCTTTAATTATTAGTCCTAACTAACTGCCTCTCTGTCTAGATAGAAGCATCTATAGACTAGCTAGATCCTGTGCGCAAAGATGCCTTAGACTAACTAGACTAACAACGCCTTTATATAAGGCTTATTTCCCTTTATTTTTTTATTTTTTTATATTATACACACTTATTTTTTTTATTATAAGAATCTGTTACTGCTAGCACTGTAAGGCCGAGATGGCGCTTACGTGCGACGGGTATATATACTATTCTGCACCTAAAAATCAACGTTGGTTGATTATTCACACCTTTTTAGTTGTATTAGCAGAGTAGTGCGGAGCCCTGTCCTTACATAATAATTAACTAACAACAAGGACAGTCGCGCGTTTGACCCACACCTTAGACAGCTTAGCTAGTTTTTTAGACTAAAACGTAAGGCGGCCTCTTCTAGCGCCACGTTGTCGCTGCTAGGAGGTCTAGTGTATATGGCTTAGCTGGCGTGGGCCACTAAGCGTTGTGTTGTTATTTATCCCGCGCCTCTAGGCCGCAGGTGGTCAGCCTCTAGCCGGTAACCAAGACATGCGCATGGCGCCTCTAAGCAGAGTTGGCAACAATTAAGTTAATTAAGTTAGGGTGAATTGCTTAATTAATTAACAGATCTAGCACGTTTTAATTAACTTAATTAACTTAATAGCACAAATAAGGCTTAACTTAATTAACTTAATTAACTTAATTAATAGATTACGTAGTAAATTAACTGCTATATATCTTATAGATAGTCTCTAGGTCTTTAGGAGAGATAGCATTACTACGTGGACTTTTTGCTAACTTTGTAGGCTTTAAGCTAAGGCGCTTCTAAACTTATTACTGTAATAAGTTTAAGCGCTAGATAATTAAGTCACCTGTACTAAAGAAGTCCCTGTTTGTGCGCAATTAGGCAGGCGTTGTCACCTTATAGAGCAGCTCTTATAAAATCTAACCAGCTCCCAGCTAGCCCTGTACGTGCCTTCTTTGGCGGAGGCTCTAGAGTACTGACAGGAGAGGCGGTGTCTTTAAACTCTGCCCACAAGCGTTAAAAGCTAAGGTGGCAGTTGTCTAGCCAGCCTTTGTATACGTGGTAGAGGCAGGTAAGTTAGTGGGCAGTAGAAGTTAAGGAATTTTAGATATATAGCGCTAAGCCTAGTTAGGCAACTATTACAACTCTAAAGTCCCTTAAAGCTAAGCTGCCTTATACTATATTTACTACTCCTGCACACTAAAGGATCCTGTATCTCCTAGTAAACCTAAGATCCTAGGGATTTAAGTCTGTTAATTAAGTTAATTAAGCAGGCACAATTTGCTTAATTAACTTAGTAAATTTTGCCTAGCTAATTAACTTAATTAACAGCTATTAATTAAGTTAATTAAGTCAAGTTATTAAGTTAACTTAATTGTTGCCAACTCTACCTCTAAGCTGCGGGTAGGTTATGTGACGCCTGGGACATGCGTCTGCTAAGAAGGGAGATAATGTAAGGCCAAGATGGCGCTTACGTGCGACAGGTATATATACTATTCTGCACCTAAAAATCAACGTTGGTTAATTATTCGCACCTTTTTAGTTGTATTAGCGGAGTGGTGCGGAGCCCCGTCCTTACAAGCACTGTATAAAAAGAGAAAAAAGCTAGAGGATTGTACAGCAGGGCTTAGAAAGCAAAGGATAAAGAAGAGAAGAGCTATTTACATAGCGCAACTAGCCTATTCTAACGCACAGCATTACTAGGGGCAAGTCCTAATAAATAGAGTAGAGTAAAGGCAGAACATAATTAGATAGACCTACATAGACAGAGGGGAGGTAACGCGTACAAAAGGCAACTCTTTAGATAAAAAGAAAAGTTGCTAGTGTCTATATATAGCAGTAGTGTTACAGTCTAGATATAAGCAATTGCGCATAAGCAGGACTATGTATCTATGTTATATAATACTTATATGTAAATCTCTATGTGTAAATATCTAGATATCCCCTTTTTTTTTTATATAAAGGAAAGACAAAAGCAATAGAACTAGAAATGTGTTGCCCTTACTTTACCTACCTTGTACGCTGTGCACACTGTACACCACTCTTACTCTTGCTACTTAAGTGCTCATACTATAAGCAGCTAGCTGTCAGAGCTTATTTAACAGTAGCCTTTTTTTTACAGCTGTATAAGGGAGATAGCTGTTAATTATATACACAGAGAGAATTAACTAAGTACTGCCTTAAGTAATATTCTAAGTATACTAAAAGACATAGCTAACTAGGCTATACATGTAGTGCTACTAGCTAGTCTTTTTATTAAAAATTAACTTATTAAAAAACACTAGATCCTCTGCTGCAAAGCGTTTTATTAAGTTATAATATAAGTTATAAAGTTTTTTATTTTAATTAATAGAGAATGCTTAATGTGTTTAGCAACTTTATTTATATTAAAAGAGAAACTAAGATATGTTTAAGCAATTAATTTAAATGCCTTTTTTTACTTATAACTAGAGTGTAATCTTATTCTAGTACATCTACCTAAAGTAAATAAGCTTACTAAAAAGAGCATCTACATCTTTTTTACTAATTACTAGTAAATAACTAAGCCTACCTTAGATAGGTGCTCTTACGCTGCTGTGCGTCTTTAGATTATCTATTATATTATATACTGCGCAGTTACTACACCCTTTTTAATTAACAATTACCTATAGCCTCTATCTAAGCAGTAAAAAATAACATATATTAATATATGTATAATTAGATAGGCTACAGGCGCTTACAGTAAGCGCTAGGGGTTGCTAAGTAGGTAGTAGGCAACAAGAGACTCTATAAGCTTAAAACATAGCTAGAAAGCTATTTTAAACATTAAAACCTAGCCTTATTATTTCCTAAATAGGAAGTACGTACAGCGCCTAAATATTTACTAAAATTAAGAGATGTTAGGTAGTTGTAGGGTTTTATAGGCAAAATTTCAAGTTCTTATACAAATTTGGTGGCGGAAAGCAAAGTTTAAGGTGTTGCCAAGACATTGCACGGATTAACGCACACAATAGATCCAGAGAATTTCGCACACGACAATAATGTCCGGAAGGTAGCGGCCGAAATTAACGAGCGCGTCGCTGCTGGTATAATCCCTCGCATCCACGCTATCATCCTCAATGCCGGCTATGAGGAGTTTGAGAAGCAGACGTGGACTGAAGATGGGTTGGACACGACCTTCGCAACCAACTATCTGGGCCATTGGCTTCTCACGGTATTGCTGCTGCAGAGCATGGATCGGGAGATAGGGCGAGTGCTCTGGATCAGTAGCTGGTCTCACAAGTGAGTTTACTTGAGAGCTTCCAAGCACCAATGTCTCAAGATGGCAATAAGCTAACATTTTTAGCCCGCATGACCCGTGTAACTCGTGGAACGGATCTTTTAAAGAGGCTAAATACAACACCATTTTCAACTCCGGAAGCATTGACGCTATTGCTAAAGGCAACTGGAGTTTAAGCAAGGATGATAAGACTGGATGGGCTGCCGGATATAGGCGGTATGGCGCATCTAAGCTGTGCTGCGTAACTACTATGTGAGTCCACCTTCTTCCATCGATTTGATCTTTACAACCATCTGACCTTTCTGTATACAGATCCGAGCTTCAACGTCGTCTCGATCAGGACTCAATTCTCAAAAACATTTCCGTCCTTGGAATCGATCCTGGATTAGTTAATACTGGTATAGTTCGCCGGAGCGGGAGCTGGTTCTTGCGCGTACTTTTATGGCAGTTCTTGTTGCCAGCCGTAGCAGCTATTCTGGTCTACTTCTTTCCTAATGGGCCCCTTCGCCCAGCTAGGAAATCAGCGAGTGATATCATTACCGCTGCGTTGAAGGGTGGACCTTCACCACTCAGCGCAAGACCGAAGGGTCTATACCTTAACGGCTCGGAGCTGGGCGCTCGAAATCCAGAAGCCAAGGACCCCGCCAAAGGGGCCATGTTGTGGAGAGATACGCTACGCTATACGCAGTTAGAGGATAGAGAGACATGTCTTGAGAACTGGCGCTAGCATTTCAAATCGTAATATACTTCTGGCTACTGTATTGCGATCTAGCGGGGCACCATCTTGGGTGATAATTTGCTTATGTTCGTCCTCGAATTTTTGGAAATCAGTACACCGCAGCTCCTTAATGCGGCCACTATCCACACGTATATTTAGCCTTCATGGTCATAGCCGCGGTCTCGCCCATTATTGAATAGGGAATCCGTATCAAGGGTTTTTTTTCGCTTGTCACATTAGCGTTGCGTCGCTTTCGCCGAGTCGGCGAGTTTTCCAAATGCTTATTAGAACGTTTTGCCGGGAGTCTGCAATCCGCAACGTTCTCTACTGAACTCTTAGACTTGTCAGGCTGAAGCGGAGGCGATCCTTGTTTGAGGGTCTAGAGAAGAGGAGAGGGAGAAAGATCTTTAAATGCGCGATTGGCTGGGCGGCCTCGGTTTAGGTTGACATTATGCTGGCGTGGAAGGGAGAGCATGTTGCGGGGACAGGAAACGATCCTCTAATGATGCGCTCCACAATAGCGTAACTAGGTATACAGTAATTAGGAATAGAAATCCAAAGAGTACGTGCCTTTAAGTCCTATTAAGCAAGTATAGAGAGGTTTTGTAGCTAGTTAGCCTCTAGAAGCAGCGTCACAAACACCTAAAACTAGATGCACATTGCCAGCTACATTTAGAAAAGAGGAAATGAGAAAGATTTTGTTAAAAAGCATTTCTATAACCTTAGAAGCTTTAAATGTTTTAAATTAACAAAGTTAGCTAACACCTTAAGTTAAATTTAAATAGTGTAGTAAAATTAGTCTAGGTAAGTATAGAACTACTCTTTATAGGTATTGCAAAGCTCTGTCTAGCACTTCCACATACACACAATTGCTAAGTAATAGTCTATTGCCTTAGATATCTCCTCTACTTGCTTTGCTACCCTAGCTTTACACAGCAGCTGCTAGGTACAACAGCTATTTAGTATTATTAGTGTAGTATATAGATCTAATAATAGCTTATTAGCTAATTACCTGCGTAGAAACACCTTTTATAAAGCCTTAACTTTAATATAAAGCTTTACTTTAAAATTTACTTAATTAATCTTTTTAGTAAACTGCTTAACATAGTAATTAGCTGCGTTTAGTAAGTAAGCGCTCTTTATAAAACTAAAGTTAGCTAAAGTAATATACTACTAGAGAAACTTAGAGTGCTGTCACAATTGTGCACGAGTAAGGTTATAGAGCTTCACAGAAGTCTAGTTTAATTACTATGTAAGGTATTATAGTAGGTACAAGACGTTGTGTAAGGAATAAAAAGGTTTAAAACAAAATTAGTAATTAAATACTTAGCTTAAAAGTCTAAGCACTTTAGGTATAAATTAAGCCTATTTTAGGTTTAGTTAGTGTTAAAGTAGTTTATACTAAAGTTTATATCTATGTTATGTTATGTTTATGTTAAACATGCACTAATAATACTCTAGTACACATCTAATATAGTTATGTCTAGGATCTAGAGAGGATACTGTAACAGTACCCCCTTTTTTATTAAAAAGGGAATCCTTTACATTAGCAGTTCTAGCATTAGGTTGTCTTTATTAGAGTACAGGTTTAGTTTAAATAGGTATTAGGCGTAGAATTAAGTTACTGCAGAGTTCTTTTATAGAGCTTTTATAGGTTCTTATAATAGTTTGTTATATCTAGTCTATTTATAAAGTATTTATAGATATGTTTTTTTTTATTAAACTAGATTTATTTAACATTTTTTATAACATATTTTAGTTTGTTATTTATAATAACAGGTTTAAGTAGCAAGTTTAGCTGTTTAAGTAGATAGTTAAATTTAGAGGCTGCTTAGCGCAGTAATAATACATAAAATACAGGGTGTATCTTTATGCTGTTAGGTAGGATTAATTAGTAAGCATGTAATAAAACTATATAGGCTACTATAAAAAAGCTAAGGTTCTTTTAATTAAGTTTCTTTAATTATTAGTTTATTTAGATATTTCTAGTATCTAGCTAGACTTTCTTGCTAGCTGCATACGCAGGGGTAAAAGTTTAAAATTAGTTTACATACTCTTATTAAAAAGCTTAAGCCTATATAAGCTCTTTATAAACATATTTAAATATGTTTTAGATTTTATTAATAAGTTTATTTACATCTATTATTTAAATAGATTAATAAGTTAGTTAAGAAGTATTTAAAAGTAGTTTAAATTCTATTTAAAAGTAGTATTTATAGTTTACTAAAAATAGGGATACTTATGTTAATTTAGATGTTATGTTATTAGCTTTAAACTATACTATAGCTAACTATTTTACCTAGTTGTCTTACTAGTAGTTTATGTACACTTATAGAACTTATTTTATTATAGTGTTTATGTTCTTAGTCTAGCTATTAGTCTCTAAGTAAAAAGCTATAAATAAATAAAAGATAATTTAAAGCTATTTATAAAGTTTATCTTAGAAGGCTAAGATAAACTGTGTACCTTTGTCTAATATAATTATGTTAGGCAGGCTATAGTAAACTTATACATATTAGTAGAATAAGTAGGCTATATTAGGGGCAGTTATAAAGGAACATAGTATTAAGTGTTAATACTTAGTTAAGTAATTAATAACTACTATAATATTTATATACCTTTTAAATAAAAGTAAGTTTATAATAAAATTAATTAATATATCTTTTTAAGCTTATTTAAGAATTAGGAGTAGTTTAAGTAGGCTATTATACTTTTTTTTAAAAGGCTTTTACTTTATAGCAAGTATAGCAACATAATACATATTAGTGTACAGTATAGAACATGTAGGGCTAGTAGTACTCTCTCTATAGTAGGTTAAGAGTCTTTTCTCTGCCTAGGTGTTCTCTAATAGGTAAGTTATATATAATTTAAAGTAGTTTAATTCTTAGTTTATTAAAATTAAAAATTATAAGTTAGTTATAGTAATATAGCTTACTATTTTAGTTTTTATAGTTAGCTAGTGTTACCTTCTTTAACTAACTAGCGCTGTTTTAGAGCAGGTTTAAAGTTTCTTAGATAAATTTATTATTTAGATACTTATTAGTAATAATTTAATTAATTATCTAATTTATTTTATTTAGGTTAAGGTTTAAAAATAGCTTAAGTTAAAGTAAAGTTTAGTGTTAAGCCTTTTACACTTTTTTTTAAGTAAAGATGTTTTAGGATTGCTTTATAAAGGCATCTAGTTTCTTTTTATTTTAACTAAGATAATAAGTAATCTTAAAATTAAAATAAAATAAGTATTTAAACTAACAGGCTTATTAGTAGCTAAGTTGTTTTATAGTTATAAAGTACTATAAGTTTTTATAGTTAGATAGAACTTGTATTAGATGCGCTGCACCTTCTAGTTTAGGTTGCTATTATTTAAAGTAGTGTACTATAGTAAGCAATTTTTTATTATAGATCTTATAATTACCTTTTATAAGGCTTATTCTTTTTAAAAAGTATGTAATAGGCTTAATAGTCCTATCTAGCTTAGTCTAGAAAAGAACTTCTACTACTATATAGTTAAAGGCATTAGCTTTTACAAGTATTAGTAGTTTAAAGTTAAAGTAGTAGAGTATTAAGGCTTTAGTAAAAGCTTTTTTTTAGCTAGTTAAAAAACTATTAGTAATTTAAGTTAAAGTTAAATTAAATCTTTTTCTTAGTAAGTGTAATTATAAGGCTTACTAGCTATAAAAAGTTATTAATAAATTATTAGTAAAAGTTAGTAAATCTTATAAAAGCTTAAATATTTTTTATATTCTTTAAGTATTACTAATCTAGCACAGTCTAAACTTTAATAGGGTCTATTTAGATGCTATCTATAAAGATTACATATTTTAAATATGTAACCTTTAATTAGTAGAACTTACATTTATTTATATTAAGTTATAGACCTACTTCTTTTATAGCCTTTAGCACTAGGCGTACATGCTGTTTATGCTCTAAAAGGCTATTACTATAAATTAAAATATTATTAATATATATAGTGTAGAACATGTCTAGGTAGGGTTAGAGCAAGTTATTTATAAAATGTTAAAAAGTACTAGGTGTGTTAGCTAAGCTAAAGGGCATTACTAAGTACTTAAATAGTTTGTATTAGGTCTAAAACACTATTAGCTACTTATTACTTTTTACTATTTTTAGCTTATTAAAGGCAGTAATAATATCTAACTTTATAAAATACTTTTTTTTACTTAGTTAGCTTAGAGTTTCTTATAAAAAAAAATTAAGTATTAGTTTTTAATAGTAATAGTGTTTAGTCTTTAGTAGTTAATATAAAATTAAAGCCTACTTTTAAGTTTCTTTATAAATAGTATAAGTAACACTACTAGTAAGAAGCTAGCTTAAATAAACCCTTTTTCTAAGTTCTTATTAAAGTATTTTTAAAGCACTTTTAATTTATTTAGTAACATTTTATATAGTAGCCTATAACTAAGTTATTTACTAGGCTTAAAAGTTATTTAATAATTATATAAATGTTATATTAAAAGCTTATTAAACTTATTTTAAAAGAAGACATATAATAAGTTGTAGTAGTTTTAAGAGACTATTATCTCTAAGTTAGTGCGTTTTTAGAGAGCTAAAGCTTAGTCTATATTAGAAATTATAACTGTGTAGATTTTATAATCTAGTTATTAAGCTAGAGTTATAAATAAGGCAGGTTCTATATAGCAGATGTCTATCTACTGTTTAAGTCCTAGTTTATGTTTAAATTAAGTAGGTAAAGATTTTTTAAAGGCTTTCTTTTTTTTAAGTTTAAGTAGTTGTTAAATTATTTTATATAGCCTATTTTAGTAAAAGGCTTAGCTTATTAGCCTAGCTTAAGTAGTTCTTCTCTAGGTTATTAGAAAGTAGGTCTAAAGACCTTTTATATTAAGTGCTACTTAGGTGTTGTTTAGGTGTAAGCATAAGCATACATTTTAGCATTAAAAAAAAAGTTAAAGTTTAAAACTTACTCTTAGTAATTAAAGGTAACCTTATGCTAATATGGCTATAGTTATTTTAAAATTAGGTTATAATATTTT